CCCCAAAACCCCAAAACCCCAAAACCCCAAAACCCCATGATAGCACATCCATTGATGTTTTAAGCGTAAAAGATATAATAATATTAAGCAACAAATATATATGCAATTTAAAGGGAATCTTGGATTATATAGCTTTGACACTTAGGCTTTTGGACACATATTCATTCATCATAAGTTACCTTGTTTATTGTTCTTCTTGTAATGAGCTTCGCTTTAAAAGAGTGCTATCTTCTACTCGAGAGTAAGTCCACCTACAGGACTAACGACCTGATGAACTGATTGAGTTTATAAAGATACAATCGACCCTAAGTTGTTATTTGGCAGATCTCTTACACCTGATAAATCAGAGTGTACAGTCTGCGTTTAATTGGTAGTATCGATAAATTTGCTATTGTATACGCCTATGGTATTCGCATCCCGCTTTGGTGGTTTATAGTTTGTATTTATTTTAGGTTTAAATAACTCACGCATCTCTTGCTCCTATTAAATGACCTGCTATTATAGTGATTTTATCTTTTGGGTTTTCCTCTTCTCAGCATCTTAAGCTAATCTATCATAGCAGTGCTGTTTTTACTTGGTCGACATTTTCTCTATCAATTTGTTATTTTTTTGCTTGCTGTTGTAAACGGATTGCAAGTATTCATCATCCTCTTCCTTACGCTTGGCTTCTTAGAGCATTTATATAGCGTATCTCTTCTTCTGCTCGTAATCCTTCATCCTATTGTATAGCATCTCGCATTCCTCAGTCTTCAATTTCTTTTTCTGAGAATTTTGATTAGGGGACTGATTCTAGCTATCAACTTGATCAACAGTTTTTCTCAAGTTATAAAGCCTCTCGAAAGTTTTCTCAGCAGATTAAAGTGCACTGTTTGGAGCTTAGCTGTTTCTCTAGGAGCCAGGGGATTTGGTTTTATTTCTCTTCTTTGGGGAGGGGGAAGCGAATTCATTTTAAATTTATACTCTGGGAGATAGTGATTCCTTGCCGTCAGTGTTCTGAATTTAAGGCTACTTTTAAATCTTTGACTGTCTGTTTGATGATAATACTGATTTTTGAGGTTACAATTGTTATTGTTGATTCTTGATGTGCTAAGTGATCTTATTTTTTATGAATTGCTCAGTTTACTCGCTATTCTTTACTTTTTGATTTGTACTCCTAGATGTTCTAATAACGCTATCCTGAGTCTAATTAATCTCTGAATTTCTGCCTTTATTTGACTTTGATCGAGCTTAGCTCACACTCGCTCTTTAATTGCTTCTGTTGCTCTTGTCTCTGTTGTTTTAATCCAGTTAGGGGGACATGAATCTTTTGCCAACTACATTTTTGGGCTTGGATTTCGATCTAGATTAACCACCACTAGGTGAGTGAACTTGATCAGCATTTTCCTTATATTTAGGATTGTACTGATATTCAAACTCATCTGCAATGTCAGAAGCATGATATGTCGTAGTTGTAATATCTAGCCCATTACTCAAGTGATTTTCATATGTCCCATTCCATATCTCGACTTTGCCATTGCTTTCTTATCCTTATTTTACTCTGCTTCTTCTTGGCACTTTAATGTTGATTAGCTCTGAGTTTTGACTAATCCTCTCAGCAACACTAGCAATAATCTCCTTGTTTTTTTTTGTCTAGGATTGTACCAATTAAGATTTTTAAGTCCCATCCTCCTTTTTCTACGCTGATAGGGAATTACCTCCTGCCTTTTGTACACTGTTTGGTAAGATAGATTTCCTTGTAGTCTCCTAGGTAATTGACTTTTTGGGAGATATGAATTACTTTTTAGATCCTCCTTAAGACCCTAGCTGTTTCTGGTTTGTGATATTTCTTGAGTTGGGAGTGACTTGCACTTGTTATTGTGCACTTCGCTCATTTTTAGGGGATATCAAATTGTTTATATTTTGAGAAATGCGAGAAGTTGATGTATAGTTATTAGCATTCTATGTTATATCTATTTCTACGTTTGGCTTTTTAGTTACTGTTCTTCCTTGGTTCTTAGGACTTATGATAGGATTGTATTGAATTGAAGTTCTTTGCGGAGTCTATTAAGATTAGGTAATTGAAGTCATTTTATTAAAGAATTTTATATACTTTTATTTCTTTTTAAAATCGAAATATTTATATTCTGATCTATTTGAATGGCGGGGTTTTGGGGTTTTGGGGTTTTGGGGTTTTGGGG